TGTTTATTTCTTGTATTATATATTTATCTGTATATGATTTAACAGTTCATTTCTTGTTACATATCTATCTTTATAAATAAATATATTAAATTATCAGCAGTTTGGTTTTATCTCTCTAGAGAACCCTGTCTAACACAGCAGTTATGGCTAGAAGGACCAAATTAATTGACTATAACTCAGTCTTTTCACACTCCCCACCTGCATACAGCAACGAATATAGCCTATCATTTTGTAGTCACTCAATATTATAAATTCCCTTCCTCTCCTCTTTTTCCATAGAACCCTAACTTCTAGCTCACTATCTTATAAACATGTAAACAAATAACTATAATAATGCAACAAATAAACAAATGAACAAGTAAAATAACTGCAATAGTGCAACTAGTGATATGAGCTGATATGACACAGGAGTAGCAGAAAGTAGAAGGCATTTTAGCTGAATCTGGGACAGCGGTTGGCCAAGTGGGCACTGCACCATAAACAGGAGCAAGAACTCACAGTGGAGTAGACTTGCATTATAAGAAACAGAATAAAGATTTCTTCAGGAATCTAAGCTAGTTCATGAAAGAATGAGTAATGTCTATTTAAACGGGAACCATTTATTACTTGTTTTTCTTCTTAAAAGAGAGGAACCGCAAAACAATTCTTAACAAAGCAGAGAAATGAAATTTAGTAAGTATTAAATACAAAAGAAATTCTAAGTATCTGTCAAAAAACAAGACTTGGTGAACTATTTTTGAAGCAAGAAAAAGACCCCTGGGCAAGAAATTTATAGTTATTCTTTTCTAGGTCGGAACTCTCCTGAAAGGAGACAGAGAAAAACCTGGATCTGGAATAAGAGGAAGACATTAGGAATCCATCCAGCACGCGGGCAGATTTGTTAACAAACACATGGAGGGCCGAAAGGATTAGCTATCATAAGAACATGGAATGAACTGAGGGAAATAATATATATATATAAACACACACACACATATATACATATATATATAAAATGTTAGAATAAAAGGTGAAACATTTCTTTCACAGCCATTAAGTGAAGCTAGGCAAAGAGAAAATATACAAATATGATAAAAGGAGGAACTGTTTTTCATGACTCTCTATGAGAAAACATTCCGTATGCTTTACAAAACAATAAACGTGATATTTTCATGTACCCAAACAAGCACGAAGTGAATTTGGGAGTGAAAGGAATGTTTTTAAACACCCTGATGCCCATTCTATACAACAGAGGATCGAAGTGGGGCTAGGGAGGGGGTAGAGGGTGAGTGGGGAGAGGTGAGCAAGGAAGACCTCAAACGAATGACTTGTTTTGGTTTTCCTTTGTCAGGTGCACACAAGGGATAGTTTCGCAATATACAAAGAACTAGAAAGCGATCGCGGAGAAAAGGATCTTAGGAAGTACACACATGCCATTAAAATATAATTGGACTTGCAGGAACAATTACTGAGCTGTACTGTGAGGGGAGCTGTTGGCACATCAGAGCAAAGCGCACGCATGAGCTCACCCACCAGCTCCAGCAAGACCCACTTCCAGCTCGAAGCAGTCATGTTTCAAGACCTCCGATTCCCTAATGCTGACAAGCTAAACAACTTGTTTTGTCTCTGGGAGCTCTTCTCTGGTGATTAACTGCTGATGGTGAATACTAATTACTTCTATGAAAGTACAGGATCGGAGAAGCGGTGTCCTAGTTCCTCGACCTGCGCCTTCACATGCCTTTGAATCCAGAAGGAAACCCAAACCAAGAAGGTCGATTCCTTCTCCTGTGTAAATAATAAATACAGCTCCTTCTGCTTTTTAGCATTGCCCAGCTCACTGACAAAGAAGCGCTCTTTTTCACCTCTGGGCTCCAAACCAAATATAATCACCATAAAGGGGAAGTTTTAAATGCTGCTAATAATCATCTGGATAAACCTGCAGCAAGAGTTTGTGAATTAGTGAACTATCCTTGTCCTCAATTCCCCATGTCCCATGTTGAAAATTTACCCCAAATTGTCAGTTCTTAGGAACTGCACCTCAGATTAAAATCTTCTCACCAGGGAGTCTATGGGAATTTGTTCTTGTGTTTTAAATCCTAAGTGCTTGTTAAACCGCCAACACTGCAAAATTAGAGACCATTAAACAATATAAGGCAGCAAGTGATTAAATCTACCAAATACACATTCAAAGCAGCTTAAGCTACTTTTTAATTAAAAATAAAATATCACTGGCTAAATTCAGATGTCTTAGCTATCCAGAAAAAGTTAGAAGCCTGTTCAAAATGCAAAATGCTGCTGATAAGGCCTGAGAGAAAAAGGGGAGAGGGAGGAGGGGGTGGGCCAGGAAGAGGCTCCTCTGGGTCTCTGCGTCCAGGGCAGCAGGACCTCACAGGGCTGACCCCGTTTGGCTGGTGGGCACTGGGGGCAGAGCTGCAGCAGGCAGGCTCCGTGTGGCTGCTGATTAAGTAAGCTTTATTAGGACGACCTCAAAGGAGCTGGGTGTTCCACCTTCTTGGCAGGGGAAGGAGTTCAGTAACAGCAGCAACCGGGGAAGCAGAGGCATGCGAGTGGACGGCTGGCGGGCCAAAGGAAACCGTGTTATTTTTAAGTAGAACTTACGCTAATTGATAAACGGCTCTCGAAATAGTGATCGGCTTCAGGAGGAAAAGGCACTGCAGCTCCAGAGAATAGATAATAGGATCGCTTGAAAATCGGAAGGGATTTGCGCTGGACAGTTGGAAGTAAATAAACATTGTAGCTTTAAGTTGTCCCTACTTGTTTAAAGTGAAGGGAAGGGCCAGGGGGGTTTACTCAGCCTCGGGCAGGAGGCCAAGAATCTGAAGCTCAGACTTAAGGCTGGGATGATATCATTCACTCTGAAGTCTTGGTACTCACTCTTTCTGAAGCATGAGAAAATTTACTGGTAAAACCTTACCTCACCCACAGTTTTCTTATTTTTAACTCTTTTCTCCCTCTCTGAGCCACCCCCACCAATGATTTTCCCAATATGCGTTCTGCCTTTTCTGCTATGAATTGAGTTCTCGCATCAGATACCATCTTACCTAAAAAGCTTGCCCTGAAGTAAAGCACAGGCACTTGGTAGCTACAGGAATACAAGACATGATACTCATATTTAATCGTGTCCCACTCCACTGCAGACTCGGTCACTTCAGAATCATCAGGGGGGAGCTCTAAATCCTCCTGAAAAAAACAACAACAACAAAAAACGAGTTTGTCAATTAAACAACAACAAAAGGGTGCATGCACTAACATGAAGAGGGAACGAAGGTGAGATTTTCTTCCTGCAGAATAACAGTTAAGTAAATACAGGCCAACGAAGTAGGGAAAGGGAGTCTCCCACATTAATGTTTACCATTTGAGTCCTGGGTAAATAGTAAAACCAGAAAACATTAACATAAAGTAATTCCAGATTGTTTTTAAGAGACAAAGCCGCTCTGGAGAAAGTAATAGGCCAACAGAAAGCACACACACAAAATCCATTTCAACAGCAACTCTGCAAACATTTTTACTATACAATTTTAGCCACAAGCTGATGGCTGTACAAGCTACCTTTTTCCCTACCTGTGATAGCTAAAAACATCCGAACAATTGAACAAGAGCCTGGGAAATGGCCCTAAAGATTCTATTGTACTTGCAAACAATGACTCACTGTGTGCTGAACAATTCCCAGATCCATTTTGAATAAGAAAGTTATTTGCAAGAGGTTGAGTTTGTTAGGCACATTTCAAAAGCTAAGATGAATCTTCACAATTGTGCTATTTGGGTATATTACTACAACAAATCCTGCTTTATGATAGACTAGGTAGCAAATACCAATGGCAACTTAAACAGGGTGCTGTAAGTCTCAATGGTGACAGGAATCTCTCTTCTACCTAATCACCCTTGGGTTGGTTTGTATTTCTTTATCACATGTGGGGGTTGTGAAAAAGAAATCTTACTGTTTTGAAGCGATTAAGGAAGAGGATGAATTAGAATCTGGTTTCATCCTCTATTCAAGTATTTATTTGGGGTGAAGAATTTCCTTTGCAATGAAATCAGTAAAAGGGATGAAGCCGGGTGATTTGGCTCATTTCGACTCCTCATTAAGACAGTTACAACAACAATAAACTGTTGGAAAGAGGCACAGGAAAGATGTCAAAAGTTTATCCATATGAAGTAAGGCTTCCCTGGAGTGAAGTACAAGCACTGCTGTCTCAGATCACTGTCTCCTCCTCCAGGGCCCTGCTCAGAGTCAACTCACCTGGGGAGATTCCAATCTATAAATCACCATCAGAAAGGGCTGCAACATACTGTTTCCACAAAACCCAGGTACATGCTATCAATTAAGCACAATGGGTTAAAATAATCAGAAATAATATTGAAAGATACCTAAAATTAATGAGTTGTGCGAAAGAGGATTGCTAAATCACCAAGTATATGGGTACTTGTGACTTCTCTCACAGCAGGGTTTTTTCAAAGCAGTTTTTAAACAAAATTCTTTCTTATTGTGTCAAAGATTGAAGTGTCCAGCATTTGAAATTTCTCTTCTTTCTGAACATTATGAAAACACTGCACCTTTGCGATGAAGAATGGCAAACACTGCCGAACTACACAAAATGAGAAGTGTAATTCTCGTCCCAGCTATCTCAGATGTGTAACCACGTCTAACAGGTCAGTGTGGTTTTTCATTCCAGAAGCTTGCTATGTTTTGGTGTGTGTGAATGTGTGCATACACGCGCGCGCACACACACACACAGTTGAATCATGCTGCATATACATCTGTCCCTCCATTTGGTTTTTCACTCAAGGATATCTTACATGTCCATGTGCTACCATGTCACTGCTGTGCGGTTAGTTCTTCTTTTCTAGTTTCACAGTATTTTGTGGCATGTGTAAGTCATCATTGGTTCATAGTTCCTATTGTTGATCACAGTTATCTGATACTACAAAATAAAGGCACTAGGGATATCACTGCTGATGTCATATGGCTCTTGGCCAAGCAGAAGACACCAAAAAGATGTTTACTTGTGTTCCACTGACTGCACTAAGGCATTCAATAAATCACATTAAAGAGAATGGGAATTTCAGAACATTTCATTGTGCTCCTACACATATTCTGTACATGGATAAACAGGACAGGGAAGACTGCCTGGTTTAAAGTCAGCAAAATCGTGATTTGTTTGTTCTTACTCTTGGTTCATCTTTCCCATTGTATTTTTGTGGTTGAATTACTTTATTTCTTATACTTATGGATAAGAAATAAAAATTTATTATTGGATGTAAATCAACACATAGAAATATATGCATACACATACAGGAATATATTCAAAACCCAAACCCATTGCCATCAAGTTGATTGCAAGTGAATCCACAATTCTCTCAAATTTCTCAAGAAATGCAATGGGAAAAAATTGGTGAAGCATTTTTGGAGTCTTGTTAAGAATTACATAATGTCTAAGGACTCAAGGTGCTAAAAGACGGCACAGATCTCATGTGAACTGAGGGAGTTTACTATAAATAGTGGAGGACTGGCTAGCTGTTGCTGTTGATGGAGTGGGAGACCCTGTTGGACGGGGCTGTGCAGAGCACATGGGATAACATCTGGGACTGAGGAGCCATGCCCCCTCAGAACCTGGGACTCTGTCTATTTCTGCCATACCTCATCAGCCATGGTTGCCAGATACATGTCTGTAAGATCTTCATGGTGCCTCAAACTCCCTCTATAATGGGTATTTCAAAAGCCTATAAATAACCAACCCTGCAGTTTGATCCTACCTGGAACCCTGATGGCCTATGAGCACTGGAGAAATTCTAGGATCTAGGTGCTGCTTTTGAGGTTCTATCAAATAGTGAAAACCAGAAACAATCTGAAGCGTATGGCAAAGAGTTTCAAAGATGGTCATCAGTGCTCCAAGGGAGACATTATTGTTTGTTAGTTTGTTTTCCAAATCTTTGGAGATTTTGGTTTCATGGTTGGAAGAACCCTCCATCAGCAAGACAGGAATCTTCCAAGAGGATGTCTAATCATTGTAGACCTAAGTTTCAGCAGGGCCTCTGTGGACTGGACGTCATGCCACAATCCTGTGGTGGGAGAGCACCTACCAAATGTAAACATCACTGCAGACTAGACTCGTGAAGCACCCAGGGAGGCCCAGGGTGCTTCCAAATAACCCAGGAGGTGGTCTGCAGTGAGCACTGGGATGCGAAAGACCAAGCACTGGAGGTACAAATAGAACTTGGAATGAAAGATAGTACGGAGGGCCTTTCTTGGAGAAGGCAAACCGCACCTGGATTTATGCTCTGAATCAGGCACCCAATATTTACAAGGAGAGGAGAAATTTCAAAGGCCTTATACACAAATGTGACAAGCTCACTAGTTGAATCGCTGGTTGGCTTTGAGATGGAATTACCTACTTGGATGCTTATGAGGAACCCATTTCCTGGGATCAGAATACCAGGCCAGGAGCCAAGTTAATAAAGAAAGGAGAAGAGCTACCAACTCTGAAGACAACACTGGCATCAAGGGCTCTTTGACCACTTCTGATGAGGATTTTTCAAATGAAAAGTTAGCAGAGGAAGCAAGAGAAAATATTAAGGAGCTACTTAAGCAAGGATTAGTGCAGAAGATAGACAATGAATTAAAAGGATATTAAGAGCAAATAAAATTGGACTGCTTAAAATAAATGAAACAGTGATACTTTTACAGGAGTGTGTATGTGTGTGTTTGCTTTCATTTCTAATATCCAAGTTAGACTTATTTTTTTCTTCCAATGAAATGAGTAAAAGGGGTTTAAGACTTTGCCCATTTGTATTTAGAAGAGTGGCCAGCAGGAGGTCGAATGATACCTCTACCTTTAGAGATAATGTCTGTTGCTGCTGTCTGAGTTTCAAAAATTAAAGGCACAAGAAGACTCCAGGAGCAAAAGAAGTACAATATAGACAGTGTGAAGTTAACTGTTAGTTGCTTCCTTCAAACTGCCATTTGGAAACATCTGTTTTTAAATACATTTTTAACTTTAAAAAAAAAGGGGTGGGGGGAAGGGATTGGTGTGTGCAGATGCAAAGTGGCAGGACCGGCCACAGATTGACTGATGGCTGTTGTGTCTGCTAGATGTTCATTATATTACCCTGTCCATTTTTTTTGAGTATTTAAATTCTCCAAAAATAAATTAGAATATAAAATGTGTACAAAGTATACACACAAAACAAAAAAAGTGTCCAAAACCACATAACAGTATACAGAATCATGCAACTCAAATGGTAAAATGAACTTCAATCTTCCCATCTAACCTAACACTTTGATCTGAACAGTAAGGCCTATAAAGATCAGTGGTTTACCCAATGTAGTTAGAGAGACAGGTAGAACTGGACCTCATTCAGAGCCCTGCTCAGTAGCTTGTAGTATGCTACTTCCCATTTCTATGTATGTATTTTAAACTGATGCTACAAATTACTTATATATGTAATTTGGATTGATGCTTCAGACAATTTAATATCAGTGTTAACATTTTAAGAACATATGTTAATATTTTACTAGGCTGTTTTTTGGTTGTTTTTTTAAATTCTGTGATGTGTGAAGGGCTGAGTATGTTTAATTTGATATTAACAGCTAATAGAAAAAAGAAATCTTATATACATTTTTTTTTAAATGGGACTATTTCATTAAATGAGAAGATACCTGTGTTTAGAGAATTACATTCACTCAAGTAGCTAAAAGATTAAGTGGTTCACATTAATTATAGAAACCTTGAATTTACTGAATTCAATTAACAATAAGTTGACAGTGATCTCTCATTTAGAAAATCTGATATGAATTAAGCTTTATAACTAAATTCCATTAAATAGGGATCATGCTGAAGACACTTCAAAGATATTTTATTGAAAGCAAACCCAAATAGCGTATTGAGCTTTGAAAATAAGATCCATATCTCTATTTGGCTCTCAGAGAAAAGTCACTGAAGGGAGAAAAACTTTTCTCCTATCACTAATAATCTCTATTACTATTACTGAGCAAACAACAGTAATCAGCTGTAGTCATAATATAGCTGACCCTACATGTCCAAGGGCTCTGAGTCTATGAATGTATTCTAATTTGAAGATTTTCTTTTTTAAGTAAGCACTTATGTGGTCGAAAAAACAAACCAAACTCATTGCTATGGAGTGGATTCAGACGCCATGCAGCCCTAAAGGGCAGGGTTGAA